TATCTTGCATTTAAAAACTGATATTATAGAGATCATACTATCCTTACTAATAGTGATATTAAAATACATTTTAAACTTAATATTAAGAAAGGTGCATTGTGCAATAAAGAAGTACTCCAAATAAAGTTTAATTATAATATTTTTATCAGTAAGTCTCAAGGTTTTTTTCACAAGGGTTGCCATCAAAAAGTTTGAAAACCACTGATGGAATCGGTGTCAACCAAGTCGATATTTGAATTGCAGTATGTGCCAAATGAATAGTCTGTTGGGGTGCCTGTCTTAATTGTTTGGAGAGCAATGACCTTTCGAAGAAATGTGTAATCAATTCAGAGCTGTAAAGATATCTGAAATGACTGATATCTGTAGTGTCTATAGCTGAAAGACTATGTTTTTCAAAGGGCAATGCGTAATAACTGATTCATGTCTCCTGGACTCCTGTGAAGGGACCAGGAGATCATTCTCTGCAGGGAAAAACTAAATCCTGTATGTAAACTACCTGGGTCATACCTTCTGCTCTCTAACACCAGCCATATGGAGAAACGGCAGGCACATGTGGTTTTGATAGGAGTGCAGTGTTAGTCCTGCTCCATGATTTCTCAGAGCAGTAACCACAGAGCAGGACTGTTACATGGGCAAAACTCACAGCGACCACATGCAGAGAGGACTGAAAAATCAACACACATGTTTGAAGTAATTTGAAGGAGATCTCCATGAATTAAGTCAAGGGCCCATGCTTCTGTGACGCACTAAGAATTTAGTTTCATAGTGGAAGCGCTGTTGATCTGATCATGGGGGTCCATCACTGAAAGCTTGATCATTTAATGGAGAGGAACTAAATTGACAGATGTTTAAAATTTGTTGGATTTACTTTCTGTTTACTTTACACAGGATAGTACACATTTAGCAGATCGATGCACCAATCTGGCTCCATGTTTTAAAGGAATAGTTCACCCAAAGATGAAAATTCTGTCTTCATTTACTCATACTGTCATTCCAAACCTGCATGACTTTCCTTCCTTCTTTTCAAAAGATACAGTCTATAATATATATATATATATATATATATATATATATATATGTATGTCAATGGGGTCCATAAAATCTTCTTCTGTGTTTTTCTAAGAAAGTCATACATTCTCCAAAATTTTAACTTTCATTATTAATTTACACATATACTGTCCTTGGTGTGAAAACTTGAACTGAAATAACATTATAATGAATGTACTGTGTAGTAAATTCTTTATGCTTTAGTTATTTGTTGTGTTTTAGTGTGTATGGAAAGAATGGATTCACAATGCAACTTCTGACTATAGCATTTAACTTAGTTTAAATTATATCCTGACCATTTGTGTCATTTTGCGCATATGCTTATTGTATTATGTTTTTGTTGTGTGTATATCTGTTTAATCTCACATGTATAAGATGTGTTTGAGTCAATTATCTTAATCAATTATCTTTGTCAATTAACAAAGCACCTTAGTTGTAGCCCAAGTGAATCAATCCCTAACATTATTGACTGTGATTGAATGATTATTTCTTCTTCTTCTTCAACATGGTTAATGTCTTAACACTGCTAGCAATGCTGATTTTTGTAGCAGTTCTTTCTTGCAAAAAGCATAGAATTAGATTAGACATACAGGTCCTTTAGATTACACATACAAGTCAAATATACACAAACTAAATCTAAACTGTGAGTTTTCGAGTAAAGTGTAGAGACTCATCGGTCATTGGTCTAATTCTGGGACTTTCACACAGCTGCAGCACCTGACGTCATGGTCGTCCTCTCAGTCAGGCCAAGAGTGGCTTCCAGTTTCCGTTAAACGGTTCAATGAGTACCTCTAGAGAGAGAGAGAGAGAGAGAGCTTTGGACACACATGCTGAATAAATGAACTCTCAGGCTTTTCTGTCGCATATTCGACCTTCGGACACTCCACATGGGCTCTGAGATGTGTGGTTTATGAGTCACAGGAAGCATTTTGCATTTGATGGGCTGAGAATGATGACAAGAGATAATAACAACTCCTCCCCAGTCCTAGTTTTAGCACATAGGCCACCTCAGTTTCTATAGGTGCCTATTGACAGCTGGACTTGAACCCTTAGGAAGCAAAAGTTTTGTTCTTTGTGACTAAAAGTGGACATGCTTTTGTATGGTGTTATACGTGTTGTTATGAGTGTTGTTATAACAGTGCTATAACAGTGTTACCATCTAATTATTTAATAGATTCTATTATTCAAAACAACCTTCAAGTTAGGAATATTTGAAGCAGTTTATCATATGAGCCAACAATAATCACTGTTCTGTAATGAATCAACCTCATGATTTATTATATTTTAGCTATAATAAGTCTGTGGAACTGTTGGGGGAAACAATCCTATCAGACTGAACTAATGAGTGATTCCACAGACATCCTTATGATCTTTTCACTGAATTGCTTGTGTTCACTGCAGTCTTCTAATAGCTTCTTTTATTGAATCAGTCCATTGGCCAAGAAAATTACAGTTGTGGATGCTGTCTTTTTCTTCTTTGTTATCTCTTAAAAATGTATTTTCATTCACTAGCAAGAACATAGAGATGATAGGCACTTGTTCACAGATGCTGACTTGAGTATGGATCATATTTAAGTGTCTGATGGGACAAAGTCGAATTTCCAATAGCAGATTGTTCAAAATGGCCTGTGAGAGAATTTTTATTCTTCATGAGACTAAAAAAGGCTACAATTCCTTGAAGTCTTTGTGTTCATGTTTGCTGAGGTTTCTCACGTTCGGGCTTCTATGGCTGAAGTGGAAATACTGGCACCTTAGTAAATGACTGGCACATACTTCTAATAGGTAAAAAGATGATTAGAAGAGAACAAAAAAGAAAGAATAAATCATTAATCAGTTTTGTATTTTAAATATTACTTTCACAAAAACAACAGGATAAAGGTTTTATAAGTCATAATTTTTGTTTTATAGGTTTAACAAAGCTAAAAGTAGTGAAGTGCCACCAGTTGGAAATCGCTGTAGGTCCTTTGGCTCAACTGTGAACAAAAGCCTCATAGTGTCAGAAACCACTGCCATTGCCCTTTTCTTTTAATGACAATGGATTGTAAATCTGTGTGGTTGTGAAAATCTGTGGTTCAACAAAGGGAAGACAGGAAACATTCTTATTATTTAGTTTTGTCCTGGTGATCAAAGCATCTGAAAAACCATTTGGTAAGAACAAATGAAACCGGTCAGATGCAACTCTCCCATGTCTTCAACACAACCACACTGTTTGTATGGGAATCACCATATTACCACACATTGTAATCAATGTAACCTAAACAATATGATCTAAACATCTTATATTTAATTTATGTGATCTCAAATAGTAAACCATAAATATGAATAAATGAATGAACAGTAATAGTTGTCATATGCAGTGGTGGACGGTAGCGAAGTACTGTACTGTGTTACTGTACTTATTTTGGGAAACATTTACTTTTTCTTCACTACATTCCAAAGAATAATTTTATTTTACTCCACTACATCAATATTTTGAACTGAAGAAATCTTTACCCACTCCTGTCCGATTCGTGAACAAAATGCACTGAACGATTCATTCGTAAATTGGACCGATCGATTGCATTTGTTCTCGAGACGACAACTCACTGATTCAAATGACTCAGAGTGAGTTTCCAGTTAACAATTCGCTGAATTCACAAGTTTAACTCTAAATGAGCCAAGAATGGGAGATCCTCGGAGCTTGAGTGAAAAATAAGTTAATAATGCAGAATTTATTATTGTACATGAAAATCATATTTACAGTTAGGTCATGACTGTCAGTTGTTTGTGAACAAAATCTACTGTAAAAGGGTGAGCTGTTTAAGCCCATTGTATGAAATGCTTGTGTATTACCGTCTGAACAGGGAACGTTTTAGGTAAAAACAAAAAGTAATGCAAATTAATGCCCATCTTCCCTGCTGCTTTAGCATTTTCAAATGATGTAAAACTAGTATGTTTGCATAGTGTTCTTCTTAAAATGTTGACACATTTTGCCCTATTTGACTTTTTCTTTTATATTGTATTTTTATATTTGTCAACAACACATTCTACACATTTGGTTTTTCCTCATTTTTATATACTATATGTACCAAACTAACCTAGTTAGCTCCTGAGTTATGTGTTGTTGATGAAATATAGGCTAAATTATAATACTACCCGATAAAAGGGATTGACATAGATGTATAAATACATTCTACAGTTATATTTTGTAGATTTATATGACAACACAGGCCGGAAATAATATTAACCTCTGTGTAAGTAGGTCGTCATACTATTTAGTTAGGCTATCTATGCTCGTTATTTGGAGCTTGCTAGTTAGCTACGGTTAACGTTACTGTACTAGCATCTTGCGTTCGATCTTGACAACAAAGGGTAAATTATCGCTAATGTTGTTATCTCACTAAGAAACTTTCGATTTAAACAGAAATGGCTTTAACAGTCAAGAAGTGGATAAAATCACTAACGTTACTTACTGCTTGCAGTAGGGGTTGTAATGGAAGTATAACTGTGACCGGGTGAAATGGAAGAAATACACACCGGAAGCAAACTATGCTTTTTTTGAAATTGGGGTTTTATTCTGAGGAAAAGTCTAATTGAGGAAAAAAGTTTAAATTGTTTGAACAGATTTCACAACAAAAATAATTGGATTTCACTAGTTAAAGGGGTGGTATAATGCCCTTTTCACAAGATGTAAAATAAATCTCTGATGTAAACCCCACAGATATTTTTATATAGCATGTTAAAGTTGTCACTTTTTGAGGGTTAGCAAAAACGCACTGTTTTGTGTCTGGCCCTTTAAATGCAAATGAGCTGCAGCTCCCGACACAGTGGGCGGAGCTTCAAGAGTGTGTGTGTTAGCAGCTCCGATTACCTCACACAGCTGGCCTGGATGCCAGCCCGAACCCCGCCAACAACATTTTTTGGTCGGGAAGTTCGGTCTGGACTCGCTCCATTGAGTTATGATCAATGAATTATGATCAGTCAAAAAATGTTCGGGCCAATCAAATTGCCAGGGCGGGCTTTATACGATCATGGACTGATGATCTGCAGGGACGTAATCATCACGTTATCAAAGAGCGCTTAACTGGTTTCCCTCAGAGATGACTGCAGCTGGAGAACTGAGATGTATAGATTCCGCTGTCGCGTCTGTTGTAAAAGAAATCGACAGCGCATTCATTTTAATAGACGAACAGAGAACTGCAATCAAGGCATTTGTCGATCGGAAAGATATTTTTGCCGTCCTTCCTACGGGATTCGGCAAAAGTTTATTTTATCAGCTGGCTCCGATGGTCACTAAGAAGATGGGACGCAATGAAGACCCTGTGGTCGTTGTGGTTTCTCCTTTGGTCGCACTCATAGAGGACCAAGTAAAAGAAGCAACACTCGTTATTTTACTTCTTCCAGCGTGCGTGCATTTGAGTTCTGTAGTTGACAACTGTGCTATGCAAAGTAGTTGACTTACTGCGTTGCTCTCATTGGTTGTAGGTCTATCCAATTGAGTGCAGAGTTTTTTTTCCTGGTTCGGTTAAGACACGCCTCATAATCAAAGCCCTATGGAGCAGTATCAGACTCAGATTCTGACTAGAATATGAGTATGACGAAGTCAGGCTATCACACAGCGGCAATCAAACGCTGAGCGAAGCCTGCTTGATATTGTCCCAGGTTAGAAAAACTGTCAGTGGTGAAATGGGCAGAGCAAACTAACAACATTGAATTAAAATGGTGCGGTCGCCTGTTGTATATAAACATCAACCATGCCTGTTGACAGTTCTGTTCTGTGGGAAGGGTATTTTTGTAAACTCGGAAGCGAAGACCAGGAGACTTTGTTGTATTTTTGCTATTGTCCTAGCTTGCTTCTTCACAATACCTGCAGAACTTCTGATGATTCGGCTGTGCAGGTCCACGTTAATACTGCCTGGCCTAGAACATGGGCTGGTATTTACACTGTAGTGTGTCGTCATTGGGCGATCATGTGATTGCTGTGATGGCATTCACCTGTGGAAGGACACAAAGGGGACTTTAAAAGAGAGGTGTGGGGCAAGCGAGAGACTCTCTGGGGTGGTGACCTGTGGAGAGCGTCTTGGCTGTCTCTCGGGGACAATAGGTCCTCCGGAGATGAAGATAGTTAGGTAGTTAGATGCCTTGGGGGCGAGAGAGGATAGATAGAGGGGGGAAAATTATTAGAGTGTCACCAATTACCTCGGAAGATGACTTGACTGTCACCCACATTCCACTGAGACTCAGAAAAGTAACCTGCTATGACGCGAACATCAAACGGACTCGAAGGAACTTGAGCTGTAAACACCGCCCGGCGTGCAGTTTGGTGGCGGCTGTGAATACGGAGGCTGCCTGCACTAACTACCCTTTATGGATGGGTCTTCTTCACCCTGAGGGAGGGAAGTGCTTTTAATTTATTCCTGTATGAATGAACTGTTGTGAGTGTGTAACGAATAGCGGGCCAGGGAGGGAGGTCGGGGAATTGAGACCGGAGAGTTCCGCCCTATACTTGTGTTCACCGTGTGTCTATGGATTGTAGTGTCCCGTTGGGTTTAAAGCACTGTGTGACGTGTTAAGCGTGAAACTTACTGTGTGTAGATGACTTGTGCCTTGCGGGTCTTTTTGTGTTTCTGTTCTCTCATTCGTCTCTCTACTGGTATCCGTGATCAAGAGTTTTATCTATTCGAAATAAAGTGTAAACCCTTTCTGATTCAACTGACTGGCTGTTGAGAGATTTTGACCACCGTAGGGCTGTTCATAAGGTTTATTACAACACTTTAGATGCCGTAAATATGTTAATAATGTGTGTTTCCGTGTCTATACAAATGTGACTAAATGTTTTTGTGCTAGATCCACAATATATGTACGATTAATGAGACCATTGGAAAAGAGTGGGACATCCGCAATAAATTACTTAAATTATAAATAATTCACTGACTTGCTGTGATGTGAAAGGCCACAGTGCTAACTGGACTATTAGCCAGAAATTCGGGAGCTTTAAAGCCCTAAAATTTCTTATAAAAGCATTATGAACTGTTACTTATATATATGTAATGGCAGATCCAGTGAGTGATGCAAACTGATATTGAATTATGCCTGACAGAACAATGAGGCTTTGACAAAGACTTTTCTTCGAAAGTCGGCTCTCATGTAGTTTTAAAGTGCTTGCCCATCTGTAACTTTCTTATGACATCTGTTTTCTTTTTGTTTCTTCCTCAAGCGGTTGAGAAGTGACCTCTCCTGCGGTGCTTGGCTGTCATCTTCTCCTTTCCTGGAGACGGGATGAATGAGCACTCGCTCTCTCTCTCTCTCTCTCTCTCTCTCTCTCTCTCTCTCTCTCTCTCTCTCTCTCTCTCTCTCTCTCTCTCTCTCTCTCTCTCTCTCTCTCTCTCTCTCTCTCTCTCTCTATTTTCTGTTCCATCAGGGAGAGATGATCAGAGACAGGAGTGATGAAATCCAAGAATTTTGAAAGGAAACAGGCAGTGGGAATGTTGCATTCTATGACCAAGCATTGGTGATTTTGACATGTTAGCAATAGTATCGCACCCCCTCAATCACATTAATCTTTATAATAACACTTAGAATTCACCTAACCAACTGTAGTCACTTGATTCATGCTTCATGATGCATCTGATTGCTAAACAGAAGGAGACAACCACACGTCTCTCACGCCTGTAACTCAACTAATTTGAGTTTGGACAGGCTAATGAGTTTTGTTAAAACACTGGTAAGAGGGTTGAACCGGAGGTTAAACTCTATACAGACTTAATTTCTGAATAACTGCAACATCAGACATGCTTTATTTCCGAGACAAGGTTTTGGGTGGTCTCAGACTAAACGGCGAGAAAGCAGAAAGATTGCAGAGTCAACTGCCATCTTTTATCACTCTATTTTAACTCTCTGACTGTATGAATTCAAAACCTCTGAAGAACTAAAATCTAAGGAAGGTTGGAATGCTGGCTTGACAAAGCTGTTTAAATTTGTTTCAAGGTTATTTTTAAATCTGAAAGTTATGTAGGCCTTATACAGTTTGAATACTTCAGGGAGGTTTTTGAAGGGAGGTTCGATGTTTTGAAGGTCATACAAGCTTTTTGTTGCTTGGAAACACTTATATATGCCTTGCTATGTCATTGCTAAGTTGTTAGGCAGTTGGTATTAGTGAGACAGTCATGAAATTGGGAATAGGGATTTTTATGCTGATGATGACTGGACGGAATCAGTGTGGACCTCATTAAAACTCATTAAATACAGCCACACCAGCCAGGACTTCATCTAGACACATACTGGATAAGAACATCCTGATCAAACCTGCCAGATCCTACAAAAAATACAAGTTGAAGATGCACTGAATCCGGTAAAATGCATGTAATGTTTGCATATAGTCTAATAAAGGAAAATAAACTAGGCGCTACTTAAGGAAATTTCTATTAGTATAATGTGATTTTTACTTAGCCAGTTACTCAGTTATTTGACTGATTGTAAAGGTCCTGTAGATTAAATTACATTGTATCACTCGAACCTTCACTAGAAACCAAATTGAATGCCAGTCACAGAGCCGGGCACAATTAACAAAGCTTATTAGTTATTTATTTAAAATGTTATCATCCAGCGTGATGGCAAATAGGCTTTCCAACTAATATAAATCAATATTTACATAGTGTAATAATAGTAAATTTATCTCTCACACACATGTGTCCCGCAAAATCACATCTACTGTCCTTCAACAGTATAAAAACTGAGTGTAACCAACAGATGGTAACCCTAGTTGGTGTGGTGTTGCAAGGTGACGGCTTATGTGCTAATATACACTTAACAGATACTTTATTAGGTACCCCTGTTCAACTAGACTGGTAATACCAGACTCTGCTACTTCACTTTGCTTCGTAGACAGAGTCTGGAATGGCATAATAGAGAAGTGTTTTCTCTCTCGCTAGGGGGCGCTTGTCTGAAGTTTAAAATCATTGGTTACCCGTAAGCCAATCAGATAAGTTTATATATGACGTTATGTGCCAACACAGCTGCATCGAACCACAGACATCATGCATCGAACTCAAATCTATGATCGAACTTCCACTGTAAACCTGCTGTAAACACTTGATGATGCGAGCGAAATACCGGAGTGAACATGGCTGTAAACGACTTTTGCAGATTATGCGAAGTTAATCTACGCATCCACGGTACAATCAGGGCCTCTAAACTGACATTTGACAGTAGAGAGAAACAAAAAAAATATTTGTAGCCAACTGTCAAAGTTAGGATTAGTTCTGTTAAACACAGCTCTTTGTTCATCTCGAGTCTGTCGGAAATGCTGCAACTTAATTGCAAGATTACAGCATGTCATGGCAATATTTAAGACCTGGAAAAGAAAGGAGACACTGGCCTGTCAAAAGGCTCCCCAGTTTCTCGCTGACGATCGGTAATAGTTGATAAATTAAACTTTTCCCAAAGGGAGTAGGGCCACAACATCACCTCCATTCTTCTTGTTCGGGCTTCAGTTTGCTAATGCCGGTAATATTCTCCACAACTGAGCGAATTGCATCCGCGGTCGTTTTCGATTTCCCTGACCTAATCTTAAACTCGGCGCTAAGTGACCACGTCACGGCTTTCAGCCCGCCCTCTGTTCGTTGATTGGCCCGGCTGTTTTCAGGCCGGAGGAAAACGGATAGATAGGCCGCTGTCTCAGACTGAGTACAGAAGCGAAATGAAATTGAGCGGAAGTACGAAGTCTGACGTAGTCAGGCTACTGTTCAACTGCTTGTTAATGCAAATATCTACTTGACACATTTAGGCATGTAGACATGGTCAAGACGATCTGCTGAAGTTCAAACTGAGCATCAGAATGGGGGAAAAGGTGATTTAAGTGACTTTAAACGTGGAATGGTTGTTGAAACTGCTGATTTACTGGGATTTTCATGCACAACCATCAGGGTATACAGAGAATAGTCAAAAAAGAGAAAATATCCAGTGAGCTGCAGTTCTGTGGCCAAAAATGCCTTGTTGATGCCAGAGGTCAGAGGAGAATGACCAGACTGGTTCGAGCTGATAGAAAGGCAACAGTAACTCAAATAGCGTTACAACCGAGGTCTGCAGAAGAGCATCTCTAAACACACAGCACGTCAAACCTTGAAGCAGATGGACTACAGCAGAAGAAAACCACATCAGTGCCACTCCAGGAAACCGAGGCTACCATTCAAACACTTTGTGCCCTTTAGTACAAATTGGAAGCATTTTATCAGTAAAGGATTTGGAGACAGTGAT